CAAACTATATAAAAATGGCAATGTCGGTGGAAGGCAACCAACAAACTCGTAATGAGAGTCCCAAGAGGGAAGAATATAAAGACATAATGTCTGAAAATATCTCACATTTGATGAAAGCATTAATTTACAGATGCAAGGAGTTCAGAAAATTCCAGTTAGGATCAGCACACAGAGACCCAAAATTTACACATTTTATGTGGTCAAGTGAAGGAGAGAGACAAAGAGAACATCACGAATGCAACAGGAGAAAAACAACTCATCACCTACAGGGGAGAATGAATATGGTTTTTCATCTGAAACAATGGAAGCCAGAAGGCAATGGAATAACATATGTGAAATTCTGAATGAAAGACACACACACACACACACACACATACACACACACACAGAGCCAACTAAAAACAAAGGTAGGGCTGGGCACAGTGGCTCACACCTGTAATTCCAGCACTTTCAGAGGTAGAAGTGGGTGGATCACCTGAGGTCAGGAGTTTGAGACCAGCCTGGCCAACATGATGAGACCCTGTATCTACTGAAAATACAAAAATTACCTGGGTGTGGTGGTGCATGCTTGTAATCCCAACAGCTAGAGAGGCTGAGGCAGAATTGCTGAGGGAGGAGGTTACAGTGAGCCAAGATCACACCACTGCACTCCAGCCTGGATGACAGAGTAAGACTCTGTCTCAATTAAAAAAAAAAAAGGCAAAATAAAGACATCTTCAGATAAATGCTGAAAGAATTTGTTGCTAGGAAACTTACCTTGCAAGAAATACTAAAAGAAGGCTTTCAGCTTGAAAGGAAATGACACCAGTTGCTAACTTGAATCCATAAGAAGAAATGAGGATTACTTAAAATGGTTAAATATAAGTTAATATAAAGGAGTTTAGAAATAGAACTTTTTCATTTTTACTCTTAACTTCTTTAGAAGACATGATCGGATAAAGTATTAATTATATTATTGGATTAGCATGTAGACTTAATTTATATTATAATAGCATGAAGGAGGATAGAATGGAGCTATAGTGGAGCCAAGCTTCTGTATTTTACCAGAATTAAGTTAGTATTGATGTGAAATAGACTATGATTAGTTAGGATGCATATTGTAACCACTAGGAAAATTGTGTGTGTATACATATAGATATGAACATATATATGTGTATGTGTATACATATTATATATATATTTATGTGTATATCATATATATATCTCAACAAAGGAATTAAATGGGATATCACAAATATTTATTTAACATAAGATAGTTAAAGGAAGGACAGAACAACAAAAAAACCCAGATAAGTAGAAAACAAATAGCATGGAAAATAAAAATCTAAGTATTTCAAAACAATAATATGTAAGTGGTCTAAACACACTGATGAAAGGATAGAAATTATTAAATTAGATTTACAAAAAATCAAGATTCAACTATATACTATTTAGAGTAGACACACCTTAGATTCAAATACACAAAAGGTTGAAGTAAAAAGGTACAAAAGATATACTATACAAACAGAAAATATAATAGCTGAGTAACTACAATAATACCAGACAAAATAGTTTTTAAAACTAGAAATATATGTTACTGAAGACATAGTGGCATGTCACAATGATTAAAGCATCAATTCATTAGGAAGACAGGGCAATTATAAGTGTATACGCAACTAACAATACAACACAATTACCTCATAATACTTGAAGCAAAACCCAACAGAATTGAAAGGAGAAATAGTCAATCTGGCAATAACAATATTTAGAAATTTCAGTATTCTACTCTCAATACTTGAAAAGACAACTGTATAGAAAATCTGGCCAGGTGCAGTGGCTCAAGCCTGTAATCCCAGGACTTTGGAAGGCTGAAATGGGTAGATTGCTTGAGCTCAGAAGTTGGAGATCAGCCAGGCAAAATGGCAAAACCCCATCTTTACAAAAAAATACAAAAATTAGTTGGGTGTGTTTGTACATGCCTGTAGTTCCACTGCCTGGGAGGCTGAGGTGAGTGGATCACTTAAGCCCAGCAGGTGGTCAAGGCTGCAGTGAGCCATGATCATGCTACTGCACTCCAGCTTGGGTGACAAGAGTGAGACCTTGTCTCAAAAAACCAAAAACAAGAATATCTGTGGTAAATTAAAACTTACCATACAGTCCAACAAATCATTTCCAGGAATTTCTAAGGGAAAAGAAAACCTGCATTCACATGAAGACATATATGTGAATGGATTTTTTCGTTGTTGTTGTTTTTGTTTTGTTTTTGTTTTGAGATGGAGTCTTACTCTGTTGCCAGGCTGGAGTGCAGTGGCGCTATCTCAGCTCACTGAAACCTCTGCCTCCTGGGTTCAAGCAATTCCCCTGCCTCAGCCTCCTGAGTAACTGGGACTACAGGCACATGCCACCACACCTGGCTAATTTTTATTTTATTTTTGGATTTTAGTAGAGAGACGGGGTTTCACCATGCTGGCCAGGATGGTCTTGATCTCCTGACCTCATGATCTGCCCGCTTTGGCCTCCCAAAGTGCTGGGATTACAGGCGTGAAGCACCATGCCTGGCCATATGTAAATGTTTATTGCGGAATTATCTATAATAGCTAAAATCTCACAATAATCCAAATGTCTGCAGATATACAAAATGTGGTATATCTAAACAAGGGAATACTGTTTTGCAGTGAAAAGGAATGAACTACTAATGGTGTAAAATCCCCAAATCACTGAATCGTGTACTTTAAATGGGTAACTTATATAAATGTGAGTATTGATAAAGTTGGGTTTTGTTTTGGTTTGAGATGGGGTCTCTGTCACCAGGCTAGAGTGCAGTGGTACTATCATAGCTCACTGCAACCTTGAACTACTAGGCTCAAGTGATCCTCTGCCTTAGCCTCCTGAGTAACTGGGACTGTAGGCATATGCTACCATATCCACCTAATTAAATTTTTTTTTTTAAGAGACAGAGGTTCATTGTGTTTCCCAGGCTGGTGTCGAACTCCTGGGGTCAAGCGATCCTCCTGCCTTGGCCTCCCAAAGTACTGGGATTACAGGTGTGAGCCACTGTGCCCAGCCTGTTTTCTAAAAAAGTAGTAAACTTGAATCAGGTGCGGTGGCTCATACCTGTAGCCCCAGCACTTTGGGAGGCCGAGGTGGGCAGACCATTGAGGCCAGGAGTTTGAAACAAGCCTGGGCAACATGGTGAGACCTCATCTCTACAAAAAATACAAAAATTAGCTGGGTTGGTAATGTGTGCCTATAGTCCCAGCTACTCAGGAGGCTGAGGTGGGCTGATGGCTTGAGCCCACAAGGCAGAGGTTGCAGTGAACTGTGATTGTGTCACTGCATGCCAGTCTAGGTGACAGAGTGAGATTCTGTCTCAAATAAATAAATAACTAAAATAATAAATAAAAAAGTAATGAACCAACTGATATATGCTATAGCATGGATGAACCTCAAAAACATGCTAAGTGAAAGAAGGCAGATGGAAAAGACTGTATTTTATGATACCACTTATATGAAATGCTCTTATTATAGAACACACCCCAGAGATGTTAAAATTTGAGAAAGCTTATGTCTTTGAATCAATGAAATATAGTATTTATCACAGAGGTGGTAGGATTGTGAGTGATTTTTAGTATTTACAATTAACATTGTTGGATTGTTTTCAAACAGCTTTATTGAGGTATAATTGATAAATAAACTGCATGTATTTAAATTGTATAATTTTAAAGTTTTAACATATCTGTGAAACTATCACTACAATCAAGATAATGAACCTACACGCATTAGTCCCAAAGTTTTTTGTGTCTTCTATTATTCCTTTGCCCACTTCTGTCCACCCCTGCCCTCTCGCCTGGCCTCCTTTGGTCTGGTTCTTTTCATTCAACATAAATTATTTTGAGAATCATCCATGTTGTCTAATTTAAAAATTATTTATTTAAAAAGAGAATTTTTAGGGAAAAAATTGTTATAAAATTCTTTTCTAGTGATTTATCTATAGTTTGAATTTTCCATACAAAGGTTTTGCTTTGAACTTTTTAAACTTGCCTTATCCTTCCAATTATAACTGCTAGGTCATGGTAACTAAATAGATACTATTTCTTATATAGAAGTGAATTCAACCTCTTAATGTTAATTTAATTTTAATTTTTTTTTTTTTTTTTTTTAAATGGAGTCTCGCTCTATCACCCAGGCTGCAGTACGCCATCTCAGGTCTCTGCAACCTCTGCCTCCCAGGTTCAAGTGATTCTCCTGCCTCAGCCTTCCCAGTAGTTGGGACTACAGGCATGTGCCACCACACCCAGCTAATTTTTGTATCTTTAGTAAAGACGGGGTATCACCTTGTTGGCCAGTCTAGTCTCAAACTTCTGATCTCAAGTGATCTGCCTGCCTCGGTCTCCTAAAGTGCTGGGATTACAGATGTGAGCCACTGCACCCAGCCTTTTTTTTTTTTTTTTTTTTGACAGGGTCTCGTCTGTAGCCCAGGCTGGAATGTAGTGATACAGTCAGTCATGGTTCACTGCAGCCTTGACTGCTTGGGCTCAAGCGATTCTCCCAAGTCTCCCCAGTAGCTAGGACTACAGGCATGTGCCACCAGACTTCGCTGATTTTTTTGGTTTGTTTTTATGGAGATGAGGTCTCACCATTTTGCCTAAGCTGGTCTCGAACTACTGAGCTCACACAGTCCTCCTGCCAAAGTGCCTGGATTACAGGTGTGAGCCACCATGTCCAACCTAATTTGAAATTTCTTGTCAAAGATTAAAAGCATTCTGATTACAAGAGTTATGAGACCAGAATCAAGCCAGGTTGTAAGGTCTCTCTAAATCCTTTAAATGATAGAGCAGGCAACTAACTTTCTGTGGTGATTTTACCTGTTCTAAAAGGAGGGAAATACAACAGATTTTTTTCAGGTTCCTTCTCTCTCTCCGATGTTAAATGCTGAAATTATTTGGAAAACTAAATGATAAAAAAATAACGGCTTTCTTTCAAGTTTGTCTCATGTATTGCTTTTGTTTTTTGTTTTTCAGACCAAGTGTTTATTCAGCTTGTTCCGGGATATTGGCCATCACTTGATTCATAATAATAAAATAGGAGGAATTAATTCTCCACTGTCCAAACCAGCTGTTCCTAAGAATCTGAAAGAAGATAAACCAGTAAAAGAAAAGGATATAGATGGAAGGCTTAGGCCTGGGGATATGGTAGGTTGTTGAGAAGGTGATGATTTTGCCTGTAGTTTACATTCCAGAGGCTTCACTGATTTCTCACTTGGTGACTTGTATCAATGTTAGTTTGCATTTTTAAAAAAAATTTTACTTTAGGTTCTGGGATACATATGCAGAATGTGCAGGTTTGTTACATAGGTATACATGTGCTATGGTGGTTTGCTGTACCTGTCAACCTGTCATCTCAATTTTAAGCCCTGCAAACATTAGATATTTGTCCTAATGCTTTCCATCCCCTTGCCCCTCACTCCCAACAGAGCCTGGATGTGATGTTCCCCTCCCTGTGTCCATGTGTTTTCATTGTTCATTTGCCACTTAAGAATGAGAACATGCGGTGTTCGGTTTTCTGTTCCTGTGTTAGTTTGCTGAGAATGATGGTTTCCAGCTTCATCCATGTCCCTGCAAAAGACGTGAACTCATGATTTTTTATGACTGCAGTTAGTTTGCATTTTGATGCAATGTAGAGATCATTGTACTTGTCACTATGAAGACCGTGTAGGAATTCAATTTTTGAGGTGTGTTCATTTTCTTTCAACAGGCACCTAGTATAAAATCTCAGAGCTCAGATACTCCTTTGGAAGTTGAACCCTCTCTGAGTCACAATCCTGAAGGACAGGTAACTATGCATAAAGTTTGGAAAATAAAGATTAAGTTAACCAGACCTGTATTAAGCAAGTATTTTCATTGGAAAATGCTCAGGGCAGGATGTTAGTTATCATCCCATATTTGCCCATTACCAATTTATTACTTTGGGCAAATTTCTTTGTCTTGTTGAAACTCTGTAAAATAAACTGATACCGGGTTAATTATAAGGTCCTTTCCAGCATTAAAATTTTTTGTCTTTTATTAATTCTACTATGTTAAACATTATAAGGGATGCAAAGATGTATCATCTGCAGCATTTACTCATCTGCTTTCAGGAAACTCAGATGAGTTTCTGGCAGGAGAAACAGACAAGTACATAACTAACCATGGTATTTAATTTTGATGAGTGCTGTAACAGAGGTACAAATAAAAGTTCTGTATGGGCTCTGAGGAGACAAAGATTAGGATGGGGCAGTCTAAGGGAAGACTTCATGAAAGAGGTGTTATCCATACTAAGTAATCAAAGATGAAGAGATCTGTTTGCCAGATGAAGATGGAGGGAGAGGCATTTCAGAGCTAGGGAACAACTTGAGAGAGAACAACACAGAGATTTGCAAGAGCAGAATTTATAGTGTGTCAATTAATTGCCGTGTGTGGTATACAGAGTAGTTAAAGGAGAGATTTTGTAAAGAGGTAGGAAAGACGAGAGAGGCTGAATCAGGTAATGGAAAGACCTGAAAGGCTTCTTTAAAAGTTTGGACTTTATTGCATAGCTGATGAGGGATTCTGGAACCTCTTCTTTGAGATTCACACCAAAGGTTTTAAAGTCACGTAGAATTAAGACCTCATGTGTGTTTCAGGAATTCTTGCAAGGGTGTAAAAAAAAAGAGACTGAAGGTAGGGTAGGACTGCAGGCTTTTCTTATAGTATAAATGAGTGTTGATGACAGTTTTATTTAGGGCAGAGGTTGTAGTAAAGAAAGTCAGAAACCTGCAGAGGCGAGGAGTTTGCAATTGGGAAGTTTTGGGGGTACTGATGAAGAAACGTTAAAGATAACTCAAGTTGCAAGCCTCACTTTCAGGAAGGATGGCAACACCACCAAGAGGAAAGTCAAAAGAGAGATTGACATTGGGGAAATAATAAATTCAAGTTTGGACATGTTGTATTTAGGATACTGGCAAAAATCTGGGTAGATTTGTCTAGCAGTTGGAGTTGGTAGCTGGTAGGGAGGAGACTGTGAGTGGAAATATAAGAAGGAAGAGAATATTTCTGCAGGACCCATCTGAAAGAAGGTTGCTGGAAGAAAGAATAGCATTCACTTAAAATGGTTCCTGGGAAAGTATTATGAAGCCCTGTTTATGTAGTTACATATGCGGTTTTCTCACTTATTATATTGTGAGCATCATCTTATGTTAGTAAATTTTTCATAAATATTTTTTTCTGGAAATAATTAATAAAAAACAATGCCTTTACAGCAATACATAGAAGCAAGGACATACATTGTGTTAGAAATTCAGCTGGACAAAGCCTTGGTTCCGAAGCGAATGCCAGAGGAGCTAGCCAGAAGGTATGTAGCTATGGTGGTTATACTAGTTTTATACAATTTGGGTGTAAATAAGAGGGAGTCAGAGTGTTCCCATGATTTAATTTCCCTTGGGCTAAGCAGGAGTTATCTGGTTTTGTTCTAGATGAAGTTTTTTGTTGTTGTTGTTATTGTTGTTAATTATCACAAAAGCATTGCATGCTCATTATAAAAATTTTTAGGGCTTTTCCTCCCTGGCTGTCTAAGGATAGGCCGCTATCATGAACGACGCAGTAACTATCCACACTAGAAAGTTCATGACCAACCGACTATTTCAGAGGAAACAAATGGTCATTGATGTCCTTCACCCCGGGAAGGCAACAGTGCCTAAGACAGAAATTCGGGAAAAACTAGCCAAAATGTACAAGACCACACCGGATGTCGTCTTTGTATTTGGATTCAGAACTCATTTTGGTGGTGGCAAGACAACTGGCTTTGGCATGATTTATGATTCCCTGGATTATGCAAAGAAAAATGAACCCAAACATAGACTTGCAAGACATGGCCTGTATGAGAAGAAGAAGACCTCAAGAAAGCAACGAAAGGAATGCAAGAACAGAATGAGGAAAGTCAGGAGAACTGCAAAGGCCAATGTTGGTGCTGGCAAAAAGTGAGCTGGAGATCAGATCACAGCCGAAGGAGTAAAGGTGCCGCAATGATGTTATCTATGGCCGTTATGGATTTTTCACAAGAAGCTTAATAAACTAAAAACTTTCATGTGAAAAAAAAAATTTTTTTTTAGGAAGCTGGGTGCGGTGGTTCGCACCTATAATCCTAGCACTTTGGGAGGCCAAGGCAGGGGGATTCCCTGAGCTCAGGAGTTCAAAACCAGCCTAGGCAACACGGTGAAATCCCATCTCTACTAAAATACAAAAAATTAGCCAGGCATGACAGCATGCGCCTGTAATCCCAGTTACTCAGAAGGCTGAGGCAAGAGAATTGCTTGAACCCGGAGGCGGAGGTTGCAGTGAGCCGAGATCGCAGCACTGCACTCCAGCCTGGAAAACGGAGCAAGACTCTGACTCTTAAAAAAAAAAAAAAAAAAAAAAAAAACTTTAGGAAATAGGGATGAACAAGAAAGTATATAAAAATACCCAAGCCAGGTGTGGTAGCTCATTCATATAATCCCAGCAATTTGGGAGGCTGAGGCAAGAGGATCACTTGAGCCCAGGAGTTTGAGACCAGCTTGGGCAACATAGTGAGGCCCCATCTCTATAAAGAATTTTAAGAATTAAGTTAAAATTTTAAAAATTTAAAAAATAAAAACATCCAGATCTCTATTCACCTGATGATAACGTTGGTGTTGTTATCCTTCTGGAGTTATGTTAAAGCCCCCCCCCCCATATTACACATACACACATAAACACACTCATGTTACATACACATATATGTAATTTTTTAAAACTGTCTATATTGTACCATAGTGCTTTGCTTGTGGGTTACTAGGAAATTGTGCATTCATCTGGGTTATTCAACTTCTTGGCATACTATTCTCTAATACTCCTTTTTATCCCTGTAAAATTGATAGTAACATTGCCACTTTCATTTCTGATTTTAGTAGGTTGTCTTCTCTCTTTTCTTAGACAGTCTTGCTAAAGATTTGTCAATCTTGTTGATCTTTTTGGAAAACTAACTCTTAAATCTTATTGATTTTCTCTATTATTTTTCCATTCTCCAATTTGTTTCTACTCTAATCTTCATTCTCACCTTTATTATGTCTTCTGCTAGCTTTGTGCATAGTGTACACTCCTTTTGCTAGTTCCTTAAGGTATACAGTTTTGTTATTGATTTTGAGTTTTCTTCTTTAATCTATGTGTTGAGAATTATGTATTTCCCTCTGAATACTACTTTCACTGCATTTCGTAAGTTTTTATTTGGTTTTTGTTTTCATTGGTCTAAAGGTTTTTTAAAAATTTCCCTTGTGATTTCTTCTTTGACCCATTAGTTGAGTGTGTTTCTTAATTTTCTTATTTCAGTTATTTAATATTCGTATTTTCTTAATTTTCAGTCTTCTTTCCATTACTGAGTTTTAGTTTTATTTCACTATGATCAAAAAATATGCTTCATATGATTTCAATCTTTTTTTTTTTTTTTGAGACAGAGTTTTGCTCTTGTTGCCCAGGCTCGAGTGCAATGGTGCAATCTTGGCTCACCGCAACCTCCACCTCTCAGGTTCAAACAATTCTCCTGCCTCAGCCTCCCAAGTAGTTGGATTACAGGCATGTACCACCATGCCTGGCTAATTTTGTATTTTTAGTAGAGACGGGGTTTCTCCATGTTGGTCAGGCTGTTGAACTCCTGACCTCAGGTGATCTACCTGCCTTGGCCTTCCAAAGTGCTGGGATTACAGATGTGAGTCACCATACTCAGCCATGATTTCAGTCTTTTAAAATTTATTTATATTTATTTTGTGGCCTGACATATGGTCTGTCCTGCAGAATGGTCTATGTGCATTTGAGAAGAATGTGTAATCTGTTGTTATTGGGTAGAATGTTCTATATATGTCTTTTGGGTCGAATTGGTTTATAGGGTTGTTCAAATCCTTTTTCTTTCTTTCTTTCTTTTTCTTTTTTTTTTTTTGAGGTGGATTCTTTCTCTGTTGCCCAGGCTGGAGTGCAGTGGCATGATCTTGGCTCACTGCAATCACTGCCTCCTGTGTCCCAGCAATTCTCCTGCCTCAGCCTCCCAAGTAACTGGGACTATAGGAGTATACTGCCATAGCCAGTTAATTATTTTTGTTTTGTATTTTCATAGAGATGGGGTTTCACTGTGTTGCCCAGGCTGTTCTTGAACTCCTGAGCTCAGGCAATCCACCCACCTTGGCCTCCCAAAGTGCTAGGGTTACAAGTGTGAACCATCACGCCCAATCTAAATCCTTTATTTCTTTATTAATCTCCTGTCTGGTTGTTTTATCTATTATTGAAGGTAGAGTATTGGAGTCTCTATTATTGTAGGACTATCAATTTCTCCCTTCAAATCTGTCAGTTTTTGCTGTATAAATTTTGGGTTTCTGTTTTATATGTTTATAAATGTATTTTATTGCTGTATTGAAACTTTTATCAGTATTTAATGTTCTTATTTGTCTCTTGTAACTTCTTTTTATCTGAAGTTTATTTTGTCTGACAATAATATAGCCATCTCAGCTCTTTGGTTACTATTTGTATGGAATATCTTATTTTATCCTAACTTTGACTTCCTTCTGTTCTTATATCTAAAGGGAGTATCTTATAGACAGCAGATAGATTCTGTGTGAGTTTTTCTAATGTAATCTGATAATCTCTGCTTTTTAATAGGAAAGTTTAATCCATTTACATTTAATGCGACTACTGATAAAGGATTTACTTCTGCCATTTATCTGTTCATTGTCTGCATGTCTTACATATATATATTTTGTTCTTCACTTCCTTTGTTACTGCCTTTTTATATTTAGTTGATTTTTTGTAGTATACCATTTGGATTTCCCTTTTTTTTCCTTTTCTGTATTTTTGTTGTTGTTGTCTTAGTGGTTAACTTGGAGACAACAATTAACATCTTAAACCTGTAATGGCTTAGTTTGAATACAAACTTTATTTCAGTACTATACAGTCTATTCCTATATATCTCCATCCTTCCCTTTTTATATTGTTATTGTCACAGGTTACAAATTTATCTATTGTGTGCCTATTAACATAGACTTATCATTATTATTTTATGCATTTGTCATCAAAAAAGAGATAAGAGAAAGAAGAGTTACAAGTCAAAAGTACAATAATACTGGCTTTTATATTTACCTTTACTAGTGTTCTTTATTTCTTCATCTGACTTCAAGTTACTGATTAGTGTCCTGTCATTTCAGCCTGAAGGACTACAGTATGTCTTAGTATGGATATCTGAGTTTTTCCTGCTTGGAGTTTATTAAGTTTCTTGGATGTGTTGATTCATAGCTTTTATCAAATTTGGGAAGTTTTGGGCCATTATTTATTCAAAATCTTTTCTTCTCCCTTTCTTCTCTGGAAAATTCTTCTTCCAGAACTTCCATAATGTGTATGCTGGCCAGCTTGATGGCATCCTATAGGTCTTAGATTCTGTTTACTTTTCTTCACTCTTTTTCTCTCTGTTACTCTGACTGAATTATTTCAATTGTCCTGTCTTCAGGTTTACTGATTCTTTCTTCTGCCTGATCAAATCTGCTGTTGAACCCTTCAGTGAATTTTTTATTCCAAATATTGTATTTTTCAGCTTCAGACTTCTTTTTTAAAAAAAAAAAATAATTTCGGTGGGGAGGGATAGCCTGGGGAGAAATGCCAAATGTGGGTGAAGGGGAGAAGAAAAGCAAAGCACACTGCAATCTGTGTACCTACACAACTGTCTTGCATGCTCTGCTCATGTACCCCAAAACCTAAAATCCAATAAAAAATTAAAAAATAATAATAATTTCTATCTCTACTGATACTCTAATTTTATTCATACATTGCTTTTCTTGTTTCTGATATTCTAATTTTGTTCGTACATTGCTTTTCTTGTTTCTCTTCATTTTGTCCATGGTTTCCTTTAGCTTTTTGAGTGTGTATAGGACAGTTGATTTAACGTATTTGTGTAGTAAGTTTGATGCCTGGCTTCTGTAGGAAGAGTTTCTATATTTTTTTCTTTGAAAGAGTAATACTTTAATCAGGCCAGGCACAGTGGCTCACACTTGTAATCCCAGCACTTTGGAAGGCCAAGGTGGGAGGATCATAGGTCTGGAGTTCAAGGTCAGCTAGCCAATATGGTGAACCCCATCTCTACTAATAATACAAAAATTAGCAGGCTGTGGTGGCACGCACCTGTAGTCCCAGTTACTTGGGAGGCTGAGGCAGGAGAATTGCTTGAACCTGGAAGGTGGAGGTTGCAGTGAGCCAAGATTGTGCCATTGCACTCCGGCCTGGCGACAGAGTGAGACTCTGTTTCAAAAAAAAAAAAAAGCCGTCATACTTTAATTTATTTGTACTATTTGTATTTTATCATTG